CCTACACGTCCTGCAGTCCACGGCTACAGTCGACCGCGTACACGTCCACGTCGACCGGGACCGGGAATGGGTCCGCGAATCCCGGAGGCGGCGGCCTCCATCAGGAAGCGACGACGGCTTACGTCGCCGGCGACGCGCTGCCGCCGCTCGCCTCGTCGAGCTCCGGTTCCTCGCTCTCTACCACAACCGCTTCGTACACGAGGTACGAAGTTGTGCCGAGCTCATATGTGTCTACGACACAGGGGATACGATTGTCGTCGAGTAGCAGCAAAGTCCTGACCGTTGATCTTCCCAGTCCCGACTCCGGCATAGGCGCCGACGCGGTCACGCCGAGGCAGGACCATCATCCGCCCACGGCGCTTCATCAGGTGAGTGGACCCGCGATTAATTTCGTTTCTTGGTCGTTTGATACGTTCATGTGTCAACCGCCTCTTTAAAGGCGCCTTTTATACGTCTACCATCAATGCTTTCGAGCGCAGGTAGACGCGGATACATTTACGAGTGACACGTTCGACGATCGTTCCGTCGAAACGAATCCTCGCGCGATGTCGTGTCCTTGATATCGTAAAGTACAATCACAAATAGTACACTGATAAAATAAATGATAATATAAATCCGAGATGAAAATTGTTATTTTGATAAAACAGTAAGATAATGTGAATATTAAAAATTCCGCACTAAAAAATTTGTCGATATTTCGATAATATTAGCAGTTAAAGTAAAGTTCGAATCATTAAAAATGGGAAGTCGAGAAGAGAAAATGGACCAATAAAACAAACTGATAATTCTCGCATGTTATAACATTGCATGTTATACTACTCTACCGCGTAATATTAAAGAAACTTAGCAGGCGTAACATGATGTCACGGAGTCAGTCGACAGGGGGACGGTCTTTAAACGGTTCACGTCTATATAAATCGCAATCAGCAAGCCGACGTTAGATAGCGAAACAGGATCGGAACAGGATCGCGGCTGTCCCGTCAAGCGAGACTCCGAGTTAACGCGGGTTGCACGGAGACTTATGGGATATATACGGAGAAATGTGCGCTACGCAGAGATATTTGCCACTGAATTACGCAAAGAGTTCGCCGGCGGTATCATTAATCGTCCGAGAAAAATGCACGGGAGCGCGTGGCCGAGCTGCAGAAACTATCACCGTATCTTGACACGACCGCGATAACCGTAATTCGATCAAACCATATAGAAGTCGGTACGACAATCCGAAACGACTGGTATCGTCCGCGCTATCGTTTTCAATTCGATCGCTCGCGATACAAATGACTTCGCTCGCAGCGCAATTAATCTCGCGACGAGATATCGTACATATCGCACATTAACGGGGCTCGTTCGCCGCTCAAAGGACATTCTTTCGCGCGTTAATATATGCGGTATTATAACCGTCATCCTATTACGAGAGTGTATATTTTCGCGTACGATATCCGCGCCTCATCGTTATCGTTCTCAATGCGATTTGTCAAGTAAATGCTTTCGCCCACGACGAAAACCTCACTGCGAGAGTTGGGCGATTAATCCTCCATGTCTCGGGCGATGGAAACCGTGCACGATATTACTCGTTAAAGCACTCTAATACCGAACGTATCGAATATGCATATGCAACGGCGATCGCCGTTCTCGAAGCGATTTGTCGCGCGACTTTTTCCGTCTCGAATACATAATTGCGTACAGTTAGACCCAGCGCGATAAATTTGGATGCTAATACTATACACCATGATGCATAATAGTGGAAAGGAAATGATTACGGTATCTTAAATTATAGTAGACCACAAAATTTCGACGTATCAAGAAGCGAACCCGTTCTTCCGGTATCTCGCGTTTGTTAAATCTAATGGTTCTAAAGACTTTCCACGATAGACGCGCCTTGCTGAAGTGATCATCTTACCTAACCTGATTTAAGGATCAATAAATAGAGTTGCAATAATCATAAAGTTCATTACGATAAAACGTATATATTCTAACTTTAACAACGTAATTGGACGGCTCTTCTAAAAAGAACAGCCGAGCAGTCAATTTCAATCGCCCGCAATTCTACTCTACACATTTTTACTCTAGAATATTTTAGAGGTCTACTTCTTAGTTTTATATTAAAGGCGTTCTTGATCTTTTCTTTTCACGAGACACTCGTTCGATTAAATGTGGCAATAGTCAGCCTATCGTTTCGATTATATCGACGAGGTAGTTTTCATTGTCTTGACGTGGACAATTCGTCATCCTTACGTAGCCGTTAGATATCTCGTTCGCTTCCGGAAACATTAATCGTGCAATAGTCGCGCGCGCGAGTAAGTCATTAGCATTGCAGTCGATATTACGAATTAGAAAGCACTCGTTCGTTCTGCTTCGCTTGTGCACGGGAGACGCTGAAAATAAAACTCGAAGCCGCGGGACGCCGACGATGGCAGCAGATTAGGTATTGAATGCTAGAGCTACTGTGAAAACCGATCCGCTCGCATGATTGGTGTACATTTATAGGCGCAATTAAAATGTTGATATTCAAAGCAGATATAACACATTATCCGAAAGAATTTTTCTTCATCAACGCGCGCTCGTTTTATCTCGCGGCTAATGCGCTCTACATCGACCATTTCCGCAATATTTTTAGGAGCGGTGCCGCTTTAAATCGCTCCGACATAATGTAATACTCCAATTATGATCGCACAACGCGAGCTATACGCGTCCGCCTAATAAATTCGGCTCGTTTGCGCGAACGTGAACTATAAAGAAATCTCGTTAAACTAATCGTAAATTTCGTGCACTACTTCGAGAATGGCGTCACGTTGCAGCCTCCGATGTCGCACGCAACATGTATCATATTCCAACCGGATCCGCAATTTCTAACTGATACTTGTTACTATTTAGAGGTTTTAAGTATGTTTAGATATTAAATATTTATCTCTCCTCGTATTCTTATCCACGACACAGTTTTTGTATTTGCATCAACGATACGCCGCGGCTCAAGTTTCTCGTGAAACAGATTCCGATTACCGGCGTTGGAGTGACATCTCAATTAGAGCAGTCGTGTACCTTGACGATAAAACACGATAAGTAAATAAACCACCGGCAAATTGCGTGCGTTATGCGCACAACTTGTTCACGATACGATAAAATCGCAAAAATAATGTTCTAATAAATCTTACTTTTCTGACGATATATATATGTTTTATATTATAATAAAAATATAATATTCTCATAAAAATCCGAATTTATCACATAATTAAAAATGTAAGAATTTAAAAAAAACATGATTATATTTTGAGAGTTTTAATTGTAAAATCTTTATATAAAGTGAAATATTCAATCATTCATATTCAAATTATATACGACGTCCGATCAAATTCTCGTTGAAAAAATCGCTTGCAAAAATTCTTCTTGAGATATGTGACTTTCATACTTATTGCACCTCGCACATTTAATGTCTAGAAGCATTTGAGAAGTCTCAAAATGACAAATAGCTTCTTGCCGACGTATGGCAAATCCAGTGGTTAGTGGAGAACTGTTGGCAAGAAAGAAGTTGCGCCGTGCTTTTTTTTCGGGTTGACAGAGATTTGAAGTAACAAGCTGCGGTAACCGCGTTGCATTGAAAAATAACTGCAGGCGACGCGTAATCGCATGAAGACATATGAGGGAATAGGTCGTTTGGCAAGCTGCTTATTAACTGCCACGGTTGGAAGCGCGTGCGGGTCGTGCGGTTGATTTTACGAGACCACAAAGCTTCTATTCTTTCTTCTTTCTCGGTGCCTTCGGCAGTAGTATGCAGATACGCAGCGAGATGCATGAACGGAAATGCTCGAAAGCACGTCCCCATTAGTAGATAAGTGGAAAACTGTTTTTTCTGCTGCAACCCTTTTATATTAAGCTATTAAGATTTGTTTACAATGATGCGTGTATAATCGACGGAAAGAAATTGCGCGAAAGCGGATGCGTCGAAATAGTCACGTAAAGTCGCGTGTTTGCGCGCGATTAATCATTTATCGGTCCAGTGGTCCCCTTAATCACGCAATTTGAAATTTATCGAGGGATACTTGAGGAATGAAAAAATCTAATGAAATGCATTGATATGCAAAATAAGACGCGAATGCGTACAGATATTGAATCGCGATACCACTGATATACAAAACAACAAATAATTGCGTCCATTACTAGTTTTTGAAATACTAATTACACCGTAATCAGCAAACATTTAAATTGGTGAAATTGAGTATACGCTTTAACGCTTGTATTATACATATATGCAAACGCGTTTTATCTACGAGAACGCGACCGGAAAGAGGTACAACTACCATTATCTCTTCACACGCTATATATACAGTGTCTTCTATTAGTTATTTAAAAGCCAGTATACATATGCAACATTATCATTATATTTTATATTTTCTTCATGAAAATATTGCTAGAAAATTACCGGTTGCTTATTTAACGTAATTAATAAAATAAAAGATTATACTTTTTGTGGTACCACGTATCACTTCGAGAAAGTTTATAATCATCATTTATATAAATGCTTATCTTATTTTCGAGTATTTTATTCATCATAAAATATAGTTCTATTACTTGCGCAATAATTTTTAACTTGAATTTCCAATATTTAGACATAACTGAAAAAAAAAAATATTAGAAAAAGTTACGGCGCTTATTTTTACAGGATGATATATGGGCTTCATTTTTTTCACAACAATGAACTAAATTTACTTTCTAGTCCTCGTTCGACTATACGGAATTATGTCCCGGCGGG